CGGCTCGGTTTCACAGGCCCCCGCGCCTCCTCACCCCTCCCCTCCGCTTCCCCCGGTTTTTTCCCGCATCCCCGGGGAACCGGGAGAGCTGCGGAGGGATCCGGTGGCGATGCTACCCCACCCGGCCCCGCTGTCTTTACCTCCTTCTGCACGGAGAATAACTTACAGACCCCCCCCTTCCTCCCTCCAAGGAGAAATGACAGACTTCTGGAGTCCCAGACCTTCAAAATCCCATCAGGAGTCCCGGGCCTCCAAAGCCCCTGACCTCCAAAAGCCCAGCAGAAGTCCCGGGCCTCCAAAGCCCCAGGAGAAATCACAGGCACCCAAAAAATCCCAGACCTCCAAAAGCTCAGGAGAAGTCCCGGGCCTCCAAAGCCCCTGACCTCCAAAAGCCCAGCAGAAGTCCCGGGCCTCCAAAGCCCCAGGAGAAATCACAGGCACCCAAAAAATCCCAGACCTCCAAAAGCTCAGGAGAAGTCCCGGGCCTCCAAAGCCCCTGACCTCCAAAAGCCCAGCAGAAGTCCCGGGCCTCCAAAGCCCCTGACCTCCAAAAGCCCAGCAGAAGTCCCGGGCCTCCAAAGCCCCTGACCTCCAAAAGCCCAGCAGAAGTCCCGGGCCTCCAAAGCCCCTGACCTCCAAAAGCCCAGCAGAAGTCCCGGGCCTCCAAAGCCCCAGGAGAAATCACAGGCACCCAAAAAATCCCAGACCTCCAAAATCTCGAGAGAAGTCCCAGGCCTCCAAAGCCTCAGGAGAAATCACGGGCACCCAAAAAGTCCCAGACCTCCAACATCTCAAGAAAAGTCACGGGCCTCCAAAGCCCCTGACCTCCAAAATTCCAGCAGAAGTCCCGGGCCTCCAAAGCCCCAGAAGAAATCACAGGCACCCAAAAAATCCCAGACCTCCAAAATCTCGAGAGAAGTCCCAGGCCTCCAAAGCCCCAGGAGAAATCACAGGCACCCAAAAAGTCCCAGACCTCCAACATCTCAAGAAAAGTCACGGGCCTCCAAAGCCCCTGACCTCCAAAATTCCAGCAGAAGTCCCGGGCCTCCAAAGCCCCAGGAGAAATCACAGGCACCCAAAAAATCCCAGACCTCCAAAATCTCGAGAGAAGTCCCAGGCCTCCAAAGCCCCAGGAGAAATCACAGGCACCCAAAAATCCCAGACCTCCAACATCTCAAGAGAAGTCCCGGGCCTCCAAAGCCCCTGACCTCCAAAATCCCAGCAGAAGTCCCAGGCCTCCAAAGCCCCAGAAGAAATCACAGGCACCCAAAAAATCCCAGACCTCCAAAATCTCAGAAGTCCCAGGCCACCAAAGCCCCAGGAGAAATCACAGGCACCCAAAATTCCCAGACCTCCAACATCTCAAGAGAAGTCACGGGCGTCCAAAGCCCCTGACCTCCAAACTCACAGGAGAAGCCCTAGACCTCTAAAATGCCAGACCTCTAAAACCCAAGAAGAAGTCATGGGCCTCCAAAGCCCCCAAGCTTGTGTGTTTTGGAAATATATACATATATATATATATAGGGAGTGTAAGGGCCAACCCCCAACTTTCTGGTTCTTTTTGCAGTGGGTGCTTTTTGATCTTTGCTCTGAAGCAAACTCAAAGCAGCACTGCCAGCTCTCCTGGCCACCAGACCTTCCTGCAGACACCCGTGGGTCTTGCAGCCAAAACGCTCTGACAGTGAATTCCCCAGTGCAGAATGAAAGCTCCGGGCCCTACCCCACCAGCCCCACATGGCCAGTTTGATTTTCACCCTTGGAGGCTCCTGCCAGCTGACACCCACAGAGCAGAGGGGTGTAGAGGCATCGCTGCCCTGGACGTGGACCTCCCATCCCACCAGTGCTCCTTGTTGGGGAGGGGGCACAGCTCCATCCTGCCTCATCCCCCCCAAGGAAACCACAGACAGCTGGAAAGTGTTTCTTTTAAAAAAATCGTGCTTCTCCTCCCCCCCCCCGAGATTTCTACCTAACCTGCAGGGATTTCTTCAAATTTCTCCTCCATGGGTGCCAGCCATGAAGCCCCCCCAGTGTGGGGATCATGAGGGGACACTGCTGTGCCCCAAACACACTGAGCAGAGGAGCCAAGGCAGGTGCCTTTCCCCACACCTGTTTCTGAGTTATAATCATCCATCCCAGTCACCTGTGACATTTTTTGTGGAGGAAAAGCTGTGCTTACCAGAAACGACCCATTTTCAACACCAGCCTCGTTAACCATCAGAGCCGGGCACCAAACATGTAACATTGAGGATGTTTTCAGAAGTCAGCTAGTTGGGAAGGTGTTTCAGCAGTGCTGATCCCTACCAGCACCCGTCAGCTGCAGCTGCCAACAGAAACAAAAAAAAAAAAAAAAAAAAATTAAAAATTAAGAAAAATCAGAAAAAATGAGCAGCGGTGTCTTGTAGGATGGGGCATAACCCTCCCGTTGGGGGGCACAGGGAAAATCCCTTTGGGGGGCATCTGTGCCTTTGGTGACCCTTGTTCTTTCACCAGTCATTAGAAAGAGGACTTTCCCCGAAAAAAATAAAATAAAATAAAATAAGTATTATTCAGAAGGGGTGACCAAGAAGGGCCTTTCAGCCCTGGTTGGGAAATGGGGTGCATCCCTGCCAGCGATACCCCGTTAATGCCCACCACCATCTGAACGGGGGCAAACGAGGGGCTTGGTAGAAGGCACAGATAATACACACAGGTAAATAAAACATTAAAAACAACCCAAAAAAGGCAAAGGATGGCAAATCCCCACCACTGGTGGTGCCGCCGGTAACACCCCACGCCTGTCCTTCTGCCCCTCGCTAATCACTTACTGCTATTCACGGTGTAATTTGGGATTCCTTCAGAGCCCAGGCCCAGCCGGTGCGGTGCCCCCCGCGTTACTGGGGCCTCGAGGCGGCGACCCCTTCCCCGGCGTGGAGGGGGACACACACAAACGACACCCCCGCCCCTTCTCCCGGGGAGGAGGGAGGGGAAACCCGGTGGGGGTCGCAATCCGCGGTTTAGGGGGGGGTAGAGGTGAGG